TTGGTGTTTTTTGCTACAGAAACACTTTTACTTTTATGGAATTAAATTATCAGTCTTTTCACGGCCACTTGTTTTGGGGTTCTAGAAAGAGACCTGGGGTTGTCAGTCACACATAACCTTGTCCTGGGATTGCAGCTCTGAGAGCTGCTGAGAGGGCTCTCCATGCTCAAAGGCAAGAACTGGGAGATGGCTGCTGGTCTTCCAGAGTGCTCTGATTAGTTCGAGGGTTACTTTGAGATCCTCTGAGAATTGTTGATTGCCTCCCCATGCCCTTCCCCATTAACATTCTAAAGCAGGGTCTTCAGGCCTTGTCTCTAAGCAGCTGACTGGGAGCCAGGCAATGGTCCTAACAGTCAACAACTACTTAAAAGCCATCCCCAGCCTCTCAGGCTGGGCATGCTGCAGCCTTTCATCAGTGGCTCTCTCTTCTTTGCAGACGGAAGCCCTGCAGCAGCTGCAGAAGGATTCGGACGCCATCCGTAGCCAGTACGCTCACTACTTTGACCTCTCATTGGTCAATAATGGCGTTGATGAAACCCTTAAGAAATTGCAAGAAGCCTTTGACCTGGCGTGCAGTTCTCCACAGTGGGTGCCTGTCTCCTGGGTTTACTAAGCTTGCAGAATGCAGCAGGGAGGAACTACTGTATGCCCTCCCCAGTATTTGGAACTCTATTCCCCTTGCTTTAAGACAAACAGGGGCCCTCCAGCTAATTTGTGTCAGCTTCCAGCTCTATGCAACTATCCTAATTAAGCAGTGGGTGTTGGTCTTGTTCAAGGTGCTGAACGGTCTGGGCTCTGGTTTTCCTGATACATGGGGCCCCGTTGATCAGAATTTTGAAAGGAGCTCTGGAAATTGGGGTCCAGAAGCACTATCCAAATGCAAATACTAATCAAAAATGGCGTATACAAGGAGGAAAAGCACTGGGCCCCATCTCTCTACGGCCTACACTCCTTCACCTTGAATCACACTGGGCACTCCACTTGTCTTTACTTTGAAAACTTTTTTACTGCAACTTTCTAAAATGGCAAAATCAAACAGCTGTGCAATAGAATGATGTCTGCTCTAGGAAAACCCTTAAAAGCAATAAAAATGTTACTGTGTTAAAATGCTAATGACCTTGTGTTTGGGTTTCCACCCACACAAGCCTATGGAAAGAGAAATGTCACCAGCTTTAAGTTCATGGAGCATGGCATTCAACAGCACATGCCTCCCTCAAGCCTTTAACAATCTTAAGGGTCTGGTGGTCTGAGTAACCCAACCTCTTGTGCATGTGACCACATGCTGGGCAGGGTCCAATTAGGTGCATTATGACATGTGTGCATGTACACATGCAACGTGTTAAACACACTCTGAGGGCAATTTTGCTCCATGGGGAAATAAGCCAACATCTTTGCTTCCACTTGCACTGGCCTTGGTTATGACATGCCTAGCAAATCTTGCCATTTTCCCTGCCAGTCATTGTAGCGTTCTCTTTATTCACAAGACACGCTTTTTAGAGTGGCCGCATGACTGGCTGCAGAGATTAAACTGTCAAGAAAATGAGCCGCTGCTAGGATTACAGAAAAACAAAAACTCACAAACCTCAACCCCCAGTCCTGAGCCTGAGCCTATTGTCCACCTAGGATTATCCTGGAACCCAGCAAAGGGCAGGCATTTATTGTAGCTTCCTGCTAGTGCTTGGAGGTTTACATGCTGGTCACACTAAGAGTGTCAGGGCAGGGGGGTGGGGGCAGAGGCTTAGTGGTGGATCCTGAGCACTGGGGTGCACATACCAGCAAAGGCCTCTCCTCCCTGTATCTGGAGACTACCCACTCCTGCCCCAGCTGCTCCTCACATTCTCTTAGGTTTCGGTAACAGATTGGAAGCAATCCTAGACCTCACCAAAGCCTTTAGATTCCTTAACATCCATCCACCACCACTACCCCCCACTTTTGTCACTCAAGTGGGCCATCAGCACAAAGCTTCAGTGGGCTCCTGTCACCGAGTTTGAGCCCCAGGTAGCTTTCATGCTTCCTTCAAGCTTTTTCAGGGCATATCCGCACACACTCACCCCAACACCTGACAGACCCATCCCATAATAGTTATACCTTTCTCCTTTTCTTTGAGATTGCCGAATTTGTGATGATTCCTTTGTTACCTAGTTAACATCTTCAAGAGATTCCAGAGTATTTGATCCAATGCCCAATCAGCCCCAAGGTGCAGGTTGCAAGACAGACCCAGAAAGAAAATTAACCAAAGGAAAAGCATCACATTTCAAATACAGCAAAGTCTCTAGATTTTTTAATCCAATTGTTATTTTTTGTTCTACTAGTTTGAGATCACCGACAATCAGAAAACCCAACAGGAATACTTAATGTAATAAGTCAACTTTAATTAAAGTAAAAATTACAACCTTCTTCCAGCAACAAATGATTGCATCCTTTGAAAGAAGGTAAAAACAAGAGAATACATTTTGGATTCTGCCACGTACACAAGTAGGCAGATGGATTTAGGTACATGAGCCTGTACACAACGAGCTTGAGTAAGTACACCAAGTACTAGGCCAGAGGGATTGGAAATAGCCTTTCAGATGAAAGGACTGTGAGTCCTTGCCAGACCTTTATCTGGGAGATCCATGGAGTCAGAAAGGTGGCTGACACCGGAACAGACCACTGTCCTTACAGTGCAATGGGGATTTACCACTCCGAGTAAACATGGGTGTTACATTCTTTTACTTTTTCCGGACCATTTCACTCTACAATTTTTACAAACTTTTTAAACAGAGGGGTACTGGCGAGTGGCAGAAGCAAGTGAGTAAATGACAATGCTGTTAAAACAGCCATTAGAAACCAGCTACATGTGGTTACTGGGGAGTACGGGGTCTGAGGGCAAGGCTTCCCAGCTCTCCCAAGCAGAGAAGTGGGTGGCATCAAATCTGCCTCCTGCACCCATGTCCTTAAAACAGGACAAGATGGGATGACCACACCAGGTATTGTCACTGAGGTCTCAGAGAGCAGCTAAAATCTGCCTTAGCTCTCCACTGTTTCTGGGACCTATGTTCCATTCCCTCAAGAACAAAAGGAACTGTTTTCTTAATAAGGCTTTAATCTCTCCTCCCAGGTGAGCACAGTGCTTAAAGTGATCTCCACTAATCAGAAACTACTTCTGCTTTTATTTTCTTCTTCTTCTTCTTCTTTTTGGTGGTATCACTGTCCTGGGAGAAAAAAAAAGAAAGACCACAGAATCTGTTAACAGAACCATTTCCACTCTCCCAAAATGAATTCAGGGAAGTCACACGCAGTCAAGCCTTCTAGGATCTCTAAGGATATGTGGGGATAAATCATTTTTTGCACATAACACAAAGTCCTAAGCTTTTCAGTGGTGCCCCAGTGATCCACTTTTACAAACGGGCAGATTCCCAAGCTATGGCCTCCCCACCTACCATCAACAGAATTCTAACTATGAGCAGTTACTACAAAATGCCAGGGCCTATCTCCGCACATCTGCTGTGGTAGCAGGGGACAAGGGCACTCCACTAACATGGGGCAGCTCCTGGAGTAACCAAGTTGGCACCCGTTGGGCAATTCCTCCCTGCGCCCACAAGGACTAAGTGGGCCAAGGTATCTTTAACATCTTTATACACACCCCGTCTCCTGGCTCTCCCACACTCTCCAGAGCAGCTTTGGCCTTCTTATCCTTCTTCTTCTTTTTTTCCTTTTCCTTCTTAATCACTTGTGGAGATGCTGGTGAAGTCTCATCACTTTCACTCTCTCGCTTCCTCTTTTGCTAAAGTAGAGACATTTCATCAAAGGTTAACATCTTAGGCAAAAACGGATAGAAAGGTTAAGTCAAAAGGTGCAGAGCTACCAGAAAAAATCCTGACTCGGTACAATAGGAAGTTTTCTAATTATGAACACCAATGGGTCTTTAAATTTACCAAGGATTCAAAAACAGTCTCGTCCACAAAGAGCAGGAAGCCATGGGCACGGCAGGAGTAGCAAAATGGAGCTGAGGGAATGAATGGCCCTGAGCAAGCTGGGGTTTTTTTGGAGGCCAACCTCACTAGTATAAAAAGTAGAACTAGGCCCTGGCTGGTGTGGCTCAGCGGACTGCCAGCCTGCAAACTAGAAGGCTGCTGGTTTGATCCCAGTCTGGGCACATGCCTGGGCTGCGGGCCAGGTCCCCAGTAGGGGAATGCATGAGAGACAACCACACAATTGATGTTTCTCTCCTTTTCTCCTCTCCCCCTTCCCCCTCTCTAAAAATAAGTAATATTTTTAAAAAAGTTGAACTACATGTCCCCTAGGGGTGCTCCCACCAGTCCTCAAAGGTAGCAGCAAGGCAGGAAGAGCTCTTCCAGAGAGCTTGCTTCAGGTCACTCAGTGCCATACGTTATTTCTATGCTGTCAGTAGTCCCCAACCCTGGGAAACCAAGCTGCCGCTGCACGCTTCCCTTCAACTTTTGAAGCACTAAACTGGTGCCTTCTGGAGACTTGTGCCAGCCTCAGGTGGCACTGCTGCTCCTGCTCAGCCCCAAGTGTCACAGCCTCTGATTTCGACACACCTGTGCCATCACCTGACCCAGGGTGGGGGCCACAGTAAAATATAACCCCACACTGTTCCGGCGGTGTTGCCTAAGCTGAGGTGGATGAGGCCAGTGTAATTCCTGAGCCCATACTTCTCCCAGAAGACTCGTGAAAGTGAATGTCACCTACAGAACCCAAACACCCTGAGGCATAACACGTCATCTCTCTGCACCATGCACCCACGGGGGTGGGAGGCCCTGCCCTACTGAGCCAGGTTATATGGCTGGACTGCACAGTCACCAAAACAAGCCAAACAGAACCATCTCCCAAAGTGTATTCCGAACCCATCACAGGATGCCACTTACCACCTTTGGGATCTGCACTGTTTCGGCACCCACCTCAGTCTTCACGACATCACTGAAAGGAGAGGCAGTAATGTTAGATGCACTGAACAGCTTTCCAAGCAGGGACTGCCTTCACCAGCAGCCAATCAGTAATATCTGGCAAGTCTAAGCCACCATCAAAATGCTGACGCTGGACAGAAGAACTTACCACTTACTGTTGCAGACTGACTCCCTCTAGAGTCCCACAAGCCAGACTAGAAAGGGATAACTGTCTGCTGCAGAGGACCAAGCAATTGACCCAAGCAGTCGAGGTGAAGCAACCTGCTGCCATCATACAGCCCTCAAGGCTTTGCAAAAGGTCTCATGGGTTCCTCTGCTCCCACATCTAGCAAATCCCCCCCCTACTCCACAACCAAACCTGCTCCTCACCTGGGCCCCATGACCGCCTATCTTCATTTGCAGTTGATGTACTCATCCGAGTGGCCAGCATGCTGTGCTTATCCCTCCAAGTTCAATACCCTCCTACCTTCATCTGTAGCTGAGGCACACTATATCCAGGCAAGTATGCCATCTCTGCCTGCCCTGGATGTCTAATAAACTAAAAGCCCTGCCCTCACCTGTAGTCAACATACTCCTGAATCCAGGTGGCCGGTGTACTGTCTGTGGGCTTGCCATGCTTGTCCAGAAGGCCCTGCTTGATCATCAGCTTCTTCTGACTTGCCTGGTGGACATCAAGGTTTCAACGTCAGAAATGTGCCAACACATACAGCAGGTATTGTGACTGCATGCACATGGCTCAGGTCACACTTCTTCCTTGTGTACTCCTTATAGCCCTCTACAGACCACTCGAAATTCACCCTCTCTCCAACAGGAGCAAACAAGGGACTTGTTAAAGCTTACTGTCTTGGTGAGAGCCCTTGCAGTGCCCTTCTGTGGCACAGGGACTTCATATGTACTGGCGCGCCTGCCCTGCACCTTCCCTCCCCTCTTCACCTCGTTGACATCTAATGCCACACCTTTCACACCAGCATGGCTCAAGTGAAGGCCCCTTACCCAGATCCCCTCAACAGGTCAAGCCCTTCCACTGTTACTGTGCAGGTGCCACACACCTCTGCATTCCTTGATAAGACCTCAACTGGGCTAAAATCCACTATTCCATGATGCAGTTTGAGTGATGCCCATGTGCTTCCTCCCATTAGATGGAAATCTCTAAGGTCTGAGACAAGCCAGTTTCCACTCACCATCGACTCCCCCAGAGCTCAGCACAAGGCAAGGCTGTGGCTCAGAGGTTATACCAAGAGCTTCCCAAGTATTCAGCAACACTAAACAAAATAACCTGGCAGGAGACACACCCCGTTTCGCTTACCTTTGGACCTAACCCCCACTTCCGAGGGTAAGTGTCTCTTTCCATGATCACTCTCTTGATCTTGGCCACTATCCCATGGTCACAGGTGGAGATCACTGCTGTGGTCATTAATGCGATAGCTGCAGGTGTTGTGGAGAGATATCGGAATCACTTAAAGAGGAAAGCCTTGATAACTGGTAAGCCCAAATGCCACTGGTTCATATAGCTTTTTCAAACTCTAAGCTCTACTGCCTTAATCAAAGCTTCACTGAAGTGATACTGTACATAGGGATGTACAGACAAGAAGTGGACTAAGGGTTCTTCATTGATAACCATGGACATTTATTCCCATTCTTAATGATTTCCTCTTTCCTCACTGGAGAACCAGCTGCTGAGACATGGCCTCCAGCAACAGCCACAGGGACAGGGGTAAAACCCACTTATCTCCTCCCCCACATGTGCCTGTCTGACATGGCCTTTTGCTGCGGCCACCCCTACAGACCCCTGATAATACAGTGAGATCAAACCAAGACCAGGTACCTGCTCTTTGTGAACCTGGCCATGATGGTGCAGAAGAAATGAGGACAACGTCCCCTCTTACCTATGCAGATTGCTTCCCCTTTGGTGGTGATGACCACGATCTCCTGATTAACTTCAATGCCATCCTCATATCGGAGAAGACCCGGAAGCATGATCTTCGCCCCATAGCAGATTGCATTCACCTACAAGGATGGTACCATCTGTGAGAGCCCCAGCCACTGCCCTCCACCCCACACAACAAATTCAGACATGGGGGGCGGGGCCTGTGAGCACCACCGCACCTTGATACAAGGCCAACACCATCAAGAGCCACTGGCGGCAATCAGCATGTGAAGGAACTCCGAATGATAGCAACCATTCACCACACACCGGGCAGTTTATGCATGCTGACTCAGAAATGTTAAGTAGGACTTTAAATAGCTATGCCTTCTATGCCTGTGGAAGTTTAGGATGCTTTCATTTTAAATCTAAACCCAGCCTTAGTCTCCCTGAATTGCTCTTCTCTACTACTTATCATTAAGGGAAAAAACACCTTGACAGAACTAGATCTATTAGATCTATTGGGACATTTAGGTAGTAACATAATCCCAAAGTAACTCACAAGAGCAAGATTACCAAGGCCAACTGCACACAGGTTTTGGCATAACTTATAGGCCAGCAGGTACAAGGCCACCTCTCCCTGAGTTCAATGGCATTCAATGCATCCATCTGCCTTGTCTCATCTTGTCTTTACTCACCCTAGGTCTCTTTTGCTGACCACATTCCACCTGCCCCTTAAATTTTCCCAGGAGCTACCAGTTTGACCCTAGCAAAAGGGTGTATCACATTTATGTTATTCTGTTTTATGTGGTTAAGTATTGTCAATCATTATAGTGGCATGTTTTAGTATACCTCATTAATTTGTTTATTATGAATTATAACATAAAAGATACATCAAATAGCCCTGGCTGGTGTGGCTCAGTGACTTGAGTGACAGCATGCTAACCAAAGGGTTGGAGGGACAGGTCCCAAGTTGGGAGCATGAGAGAGGCAACCAATAGCTGTATCTATCTCTCGCACATCAATGTTTCTCTCTTCCTTTCTCTCTGCCCCTTACCCCTCTCTAAAAATACAAACTTTTACAATCTTTTTTAAATAATCTATACAATCTTTTTAAAAAATCTATATAATAAGATAATACAACAATCTATATAACAAGATCAATACAATCTTTTTTAAAAATCTATATAACAAGATAAGAATATGTATGATAAACCTCAAATTATTATATGTAGAATTTACATCCTTTGAAGTTAGAGAATTTTTTATTGCCACATAACATTGAAAGCTTGATTATGCAGTTGGTCACAATCTTAATTTCCAAAGGGCCATTCTCTCATGATACCATTAGGAATAAAAAGGGTGTTTATAACATTCTGGACTCCTTGAAAAGAAACTTATCCTTAAATCATTACTAAAGAAGAGACCCAAGCTGACAGTACGCTCAATGTTATTTAGTAAATATACTAAGAAAAAAAGGCTCAAAAGGCTCAGTGATGCTTAGGTTTTATAGACTCAAACAAGTATTTAAACATGACAAGATTTTATGAAATTCCCAAAAGGGAAAATACCTTATATCTTTGAAACTCTCCAGTCTCAACTTTTTATCCTCATCAAAACAAGTTTTTCTAGCAGTCATTTAAATAAAATCAGTTTATTAGACACATGGAGAACTACCAGGCTATGAGGCCAAATTCCATCTACTACTGATAGTCTATTTCTTGAACAAAGTTACTTTGGGAAAACTCTCAGGTAATTGCTTAATTTGTCTTTATAGAATTAGGCCTAGCATTAAACTTTTACTTTAATTCAGTACATTTAGTTTTCTTTTTAAAAAGATTTTATTTAGCCCTGGCTGGTGTAGCTCAGAGGATTGAGCATAGGCCTTCAGACCAAAGTGTCACCGGTTCAACTCCCAGTCGGGGCACGTGCCTGGGTTGCAGGCCAGGTCCCCAGTAGTGGGGCGCGAGAGGCAACCACACTGATGTTTCTCTCCCTCTCTTTCTCCTTCCCTTCCCTTCTCTCTAAAAATAAATACATAAAATCTTAAAAAAAAAGATTTTATTTATTTGTAGAGAGGGAAAGGGAGGGAGTAAGAGAGGAAGAGAAGCATCAATGTGTGAGGGAAACATGGACTGATCACCTCTCGCACGCCCCCAACTGGGGACCTGGCCCACAACCCAGACATGTGCCCCGACCAAGAATCAAACTGGCAACTTTTTGGTTTGCAGGACAATACCCAACCCACCACACCACACCACATAAGGGCTAAATTAGTATATTTGGTTTTGATTCGACCAATCAAAAATGCTTCATTGACAAAAAAAGAAAAAGACCCCAGTGTCCCACCTACAAAACCAGAAAAAAAAAAGGGCAAAATAAGAGACAAATACTAACAACTCAGAAAGCCCACAGAAAGTTAAGTTCACGGCCCTGACTGGCGTAGTTCAGTGGATTGAGCGCAGGCTGGGAACCAAAGTGTCCCAGGTTCGATTCCCAGTCAGGGCACATGCCTGGGATGCAGGCCATGACCCCCAGCAGCCACACATTGATGTTTCTCTCTCTCTGTCTCTCCCTCCCTTCCCTCGAAAGAGGAAAAGAAAAGAAAAGAAAAGAAAAGAAAAGAAAAGGAAAGGAAAGAAAAGAAAGTTAAGTTCACAACATCATGTTTCCCCTTTTTAAATAGAAAGTTTTCAGAACACTGACTGTATCTCATCTATGAAGACACATTTTGTCCAAATATGGACACCCAGAACTTACTGCACTGTCTTTCATAACCAGCCGCTTATGAGATGTCAACAGCTTTTCCAAAGGGTAAACAACTCGCCGCAGATAACTCTCATCCTTGTGGTTATCATACAGCCACTGGGCATCAAGCACGTCGTGCATTGTCACCATGTGGTCCTGAGAAGCAGCCATGTAGAAAAATTATTCATTGTCATCACATCTCAAATAGCCAAACGGACACCACACTGCCAAAAACTGAAATGAATTTAGCCTCGTCTGCTAATCCAAGCTCATTAGTCTTCAATTTCTTTAGAATCACTTCTCTTTTGGACATCTTTAACCTGATATATTTAAATCTGAACAAGCAGTTTTGTAGGCTGTGAGGTAAATGAATAGATTAATGCTTTCTATCCAACCGTCTCCCCTAGCCTGTATTTCAATGTCCCAAAGTTTAATTAACAGAACAGGGAAGATGCCCTGAACTGAACTCAACACTTTGGATATTGTCTTTCCCAGGACATGAAGCAGGTGGAGTCCCACCAAGAGCTAGAATATACAGGGTGGGGCAAAAGTAGGTTTATAGGTGTTTGTATGGAAAATACAATAATAATATAAGAATAAACTCTG